TTTTATTACCTTGACAGTCAAGTGTTGTGTCATGCATGCAGCACAAGAACATTTGGAAACACGGTGGCATTTTGCTGAGGAGCACAAACATATGATTAAAATATGTTTTTGCGATGCTAACTGCTAATTACGCTCCTCATGCTCCTGCTATTTGTCTCCTTCTGGGGAGGACCTGATGGCTGTTTATCTAAAGCTACAGCGGTGACATAATGAGGCGCTCGGTGACGCTGCGAATGTTTCGGAGGGCTGCGCCGGCTTTGAGCGATGCGTTTCTGACTGGAGAAGGAAAAGCGAACAGCGTCGCTCTGCACGGACAGATAGGTTTGAATGAATCGTAGCCCAGGAAGCAATCCACCTTTAAAGCAGCAGATAAATCACAAAAAGCATCTTTCATATGCAGCATGATGGACTGGTTGATGGAATAAATAAGGCCTCGTGTGTGTGTGTGTGTGCTTTTGTTTGCGGCATGACAAATCCCTCAGACAATACTGTGGTCTCTGAGCAGGAAGGGCAGCAAACTTTATCACCTCAACTTAGAAAGCGGAGCCGAGCCGGAGCGCAGCGAAAAATAAAACAGATGAGAGAGCTGCTCCATTTGTCCAATTTATCTAAAACCACTAGGCTATATCAGAATTCAAGTACTTTTAAATTGCCTCAATGATAAAGTCGGAGGGAATACAGGCAAGAGACACGAATCGCGCCAGCCAAGAGATCTTTGGAGCTCAATGCAGTTAATATGCCTAGGGCCTTGTGCCAGCCAGGAGAGCTCCACGTTCGCAGACTGCTGATGAACATGAAGTGGAAGGCTTACTGCGAGCAATGCCAAGAATGGAGACCATCTCCTCAAGGTAATCTTTTTTAAGTCAAGTCTTAAGGAATGCTTAATTAAGGGATGCGAGTGATGCGTAAGAGAATGCTGAAGGCTGCCATGTTTTTAGGAGAGCACACACACACATATTTGGGGGGCAGGATTGCAGAAGCCCTTCGCAGAGCCACGGTCTTGCTCTGCAGGAAACAGATAAGGTGGCTTTCCTCATTCCTTCTCCACATTTTATCAGCTGTCAGCGTGGTATGCCCTATAGCTTCCCAGTACACCATAAAATCCAAACTGTATTTCATCCTAAGGTTGGCATAAATTAACAGAATGTAATGTCTTTTTACGACGTCCTCTTGCAAAAAGCATACCCTGGGCTGTAAAATGTTCATGGAGAAGTCCAGTTTTTTTTTTTTTGCACAGTAACAACATTACTGTGAAGTACCATTATTCCTGACAGCCTGCCGGGTCGGTGACAGCCAACTGCATCAACTTTACTGCCATTTGTGAGAGGACAGAAACAAACACGCTCGCAAAACTACGGTGAGCTATAACACCACCTCAGAATCGATACACCTCATCGCTGTGTTGCTCTGCATCAAACCAGAACTCAGTCGAAAGTCCAAACTTAGAAAAAAAAAAGTACGACTAATGTGACTTTTCAGAACTAAGAAGCTAATTTATCCTTCAGTGAACATCAGTCACAGCTTAATGACTCAAACCTGTGGAGCTGCTGTTTGGAAAAATAAAAAAAAAAAGCTTCTTTCTGGAAACTGCATGAAGAATCTAAAGCCGGCGGTCTTTGTGCATCTGCAGGATATTTCCTCATCGCTAGTGGTTGCAGAAAAGAAGGAGCAGTTTCATTGAGAACAGTCGCTTCATAAACCGGAGCGCACGTTTTACTTTATTCATTATTCAGCAAATACGGCATTCCTCACCGTCGGGTCAAACGTCTCTTACACCTGAAAAAACTCAATTCTTTGGTTTAAAAAAAAAAGCAATTTCCGGGCTTTTCTATTAAGCCTTTTACGTTTTGAAATTAATTTCATCCTTTGTTCAGGACGGTTTTTAAATCGAGCCGCAGGCCGACGGCAGCGTGGGGTTAACTCAATCTGGCGAAGCAGATCCACAGATTTATCCTTCGAATGGCGGTGGGTGAATTCACATATTTGATTGAAAGTGATTCCATGTGACACGCTTTGACAGCTTTAGAAGACAAATTAGAAGTGGATAAACGGATTCCCTCAAGGCTGCCTCAAGTGTAGTGAATACTGATAACGCCGATCAAGTTGCATAATGCAGGAGGGCAGGAGATAGAACCCGTCAGCTCTGAAGGCCACGCACTTCAAACACACACCGAAAGGTTCGGACACTGGGTTCTGCATTTACAGTCGTAATTTTTTTTACATTTATACAAATCTTCTGAGGCTACGAGGCAAGAAAGAGAGAGACGTGATCTTGGCATTTCAATTTGCGGATTCGTTTCTATTTTCACTTTTATCGGTCAGCGAAGTAGGAGAAAAAAAGGAAGGTGGAATAAATAGAGAGAACAGCAAATGTAAGAACTAAAGAGAGACCTGCAAGAGCAAGTAAGACAGAGAGAGAGCGACTGCTAGCACACTGTATGTGTTTGCATTTGTTTCTCAGATATGGCCATTAGCTGAAATGGATGTCCTTGAACCCAGGTCTGCGCCAACAGGTATCTCTCACTAACAGACCGCCCCTCCACTGGTAATTACACAGGAAGGTCTACAGCAGGTGGCACAGGGCTGAGCACAATTTACATAAATCTGCATGTGTCACTGGGCCTGGCTGCAGCCTCTGGCACTCTTTGTGGATCCGGCTCACACTCAGCAGACAATTTGTCCAAATTTAACCAAAATGGATCGTGGGAAGGCAGACCAGCATCGGTGCTCTCTTTGAAACCGGTGCACGGTGGTGAACGCGCTCATTCATTTGCGCTAACAAACGGCGTCCCCCTTTCACTTTACCCCTAAACGTGGACACACAGTGGACAGGAAGAGACACACCGTCAACATCCTGGGATTCTGCTCTGATCGCTGTCATTTATCTAAGTTTTTATTTTTTTGGTCGCTCAATCCGAGCGTTACAGAAAAGTCTCTAAGCACAGAGACAGACACCAATCACACTCCCTTTGTTGGGAGCTGAATGCTGAAATCATGTCTCTTATTTGTCTCCTTTGTAGTTTCCAATGTTTCACGTATTTTCATCATGGTCTCATTGTTTTTCCTGCAAGCTGCTCAGCTTTGGTACCTGCTGAGACGCTGTGCAAGTGTTCTGAATCTTCTAGATGCACTTGAAAAGATCAAAAAACCAAACAGGAGAGAACAGAAGCATGCACTTAGATTCTTTTTTTTTTGTCTTTATGTGCGTATTGAATTTGCATGTATGCGTGTGGCCACTGGCAGCCCGAGCGTCTGTCTGTAAGCAGCAGCGAGCAGCCGCCCCCCCACGGCGAGAGGTGTTTCTGCTGACAAGAGCATATTCAAGGTAATGGAACCACTCTGTTGTCCCAGAGCAGAGCACTAAAGCAGAACTGAGTTCTGTCTCCTACTACACGCATCACTGAACCTCCAGATGACAAAATGCCTCACTGACTGACCAAATCAAATACAATAAAGCAGAAAAAGAAGAGAGAGAGAGAGAAAAGATTGAAGTAGAAATTCTCAGATTTGTCATATTTTGCTGTCTGGGCAGGAAAGTATGTATTTTCAATTGGAAACGCTGTCTGTCACTGGAGTGCCACACAAAGAAAGTTTGTTCTGTACGAGAACACCTCTACAAGCACCACATGACACTCCAGCCGCCGTCTCCTGGGTATAGAGATGCAGCACATTACGTGCATGTCACTGAAGCAGGTAATTGTATTCCAGCCTCCTAATGTGGAGAACAACGGCAGGACAGTGACTCAGGAACACTGGGATGATGAAATAAATAGAGGAGAGTCTGAATAATGAGAGAGGAATGAAAACAAGTCGCACAATAAATGACAGACTACATTAACAAACTATAAATTATTCCCATTTGGATTTACATATTTCCATTGTGTTTCATCATATTGTACAAATAAAACAACAACTGAGTGGAAAAGCGAATGAATTATTAGCCGTATAAATTAGTAAAAACTTCACCGGCGCTGTAGTAAAAACTACTGGTAGCTGCACTTTGTCGATTTCTGTGGAAAGACGTGGCAGCAGCCATAACTCACAGCCCCAGAGGAGCGAGCTGCTACCCAGCAGACATTATTGCTGATCTCTGTGGAGACGGAGTGGAGCTGCGCAGATAGGCATTGCCGGAGTGCCCCAGAGGAGCAAACTGGACCAATAAGTTGTGGTAGCAATATGGAGCTGAGATTAGACTCTGAGTTTCGCAGTGCAGGAGGCTGTGGCGGATGTGACTGGTCACTGCAGCAACATGAGGGCGACAGGGCTGACGTATGAGCAGCCCGGAGAGCGAGCCGAGCGACTACGACTCCTCGCTGAACTCTGGGACGTCGCTCTTAAAGCCTAAATGTTCTGATTCTAAACCTGCTGAGATCAAACACGCGCTTCTGCATACAGAGGAAAAACTCAGAGGCTGCCGGGGACAAAGTTCTCCAGGAGGTTAAGTCGACTGGAGCGTGATAACTGGTACACTGGGACTGAACAGCAAAACAGTTGTGAGGCAAACACACACACACACACACACACACACACACACACACAATTAGCTGAGAAGCCTGAAGCTGTCTTCAGGGGAGGAATGAAAAATAGGAAGAAAAAAAAATTAAAAAGACTTTTGTAAATATCATCCAATCAAGCAGAATAATTCATTTGCAAACACAAATTATGTTGTTGTTGTTGTTGTTGTTGTTGTCATTGTGGTGCAAAGCAGCAGCCAGTTCCATGTAACACGGATTCACATGAATTCTAATGAGGGAGAATACCAGCGCAGGCCATTTGCACATACGCTCCCACACCGTCACCTTGACCTGGAGGGAGCCCGGCTCTGCTCCGCCGGGATCGCATCGATATGCAGCTGTTCAAATCCTCCAGGAGGTGGACAAGCAGGCTGCGAGTGTCGGTGCAGCCACATGCATAATTGCAACGAGAAAAAAAAACAAACACTTCAAAGCACAAAAAGTTAGATTCAGTCACGTATGTTTGTTGTGTACATTTGCACCGACCTTGTGTGAGCGGCTGGCCTTTCTGGAAGGGTCCGCTGTAGGCCACCTGGTAGTGCTTCACCTGGAAGCCAGGCACGCAGCCCTCATAGCCTCCATCCTCTTGGCCACCCACGTGGGCAACCTGCAGCACGGGAAAAACACAACGGCGGTCAGAACAACACGCATTCACACATCTGTGCAGATAAACCGGAGGCAAGGGGGAGATAGGACGACAAATAAATAGGTTTCGCTTTTAGATGCCTCGTCTGTAGGAATCCTAGAGAGACGGATGGAACAGATATACAGCAAAGCACTCCACTGACTCCTTTATAACATCGTCACACTTGACATTGACAGTTTTTTTTTGTTTTGTTTTGTTTTGAAGGCCGAGACGTCATTTAGAAATTAAAACATAAGCGCTCCAAAATGTGTGCTGCGCTGCTTTCCTTCACTATTCACCGTCCAATCCCATTTATTCAGTTAAAATAATAATAATAATAACACTGGGAAGAAAAAAACACATTTAACTTTAACCCCTCTTGCAAAACATCCTTCCTTCATAGGGTGGGTGTTCCCATGGAAACAGGCTATAAAGCGGTGTGATTCTCAGATAGTGGGGGAAGAAAAAAAACATCCTTTAGGTATGAACAGATGCACATCAGAGCAAAAATAATATTTCAGGTTGTATGCGATGCATGATGTCAAAGATGTGCTGTTCCGCTCAGATCACTGTTTGTGCCGTTGGTCCGTTTCACCATGTGTTAGCGTCGGCGCTGACCCGTTTACTAATGCGGCCTGCTTTTGGATTTTAGCCTGTCGCTGTGAATAATAAGAATTGATTTTATAAGTGAAATACAACCAGAACTCATTTAGGAATTATTTCTCGCTACTGTCGTGTAAGTTTAATGGACTTCCTCCTCGGTCTGATAGGTTGAATCGGTAAAGATGGCAAAGATGGCCGCATCCACTGAGGTGAATTGTCAAGATAATGTAGAATATAATGCATTTCTCTGGTGCACGCCGTAGGTTTTGCGAGCTGTAACGCTGCGGTGGAAAGTTCACCCCGGTTAAGGCGGGAGGCAGAGAGAAGGAGAGCGATGCTGTGTCGCCGTTTGAAGAAAAATACAATATACATGTAAATCACTTGTTAAACATAAAAGATCACGTCGGTACAACTACAACAACACACGCGTACAAACGCAACAGGCTGCGCTAATCGAGTTTGTTGCAGGCGCTGCGGAGACAATTAAACACAATCCAGAAGGTTCAGGTTGACTAATAGGTTAATAATCCAGAAGCTGAAACTATTTGTGGAGAGCAGCTGTGCTCTGTGAGGTTTTATCCACTGGATGTTACTTCCTCGTCCTTGCAGCACAACCACCCTAAGGTTGGGTTCTTATTGCAAAACTGGACTTCCTGAGTTGGCAGCCAGTGCCTCTAAACCACAGTGTACAGTATGAAACGCTGTCTGTTGAATAAAGCAAAGAAGACGTGACCTTATCTTGAAAGGCAGCAGCGCTGCATCGGTCCTGATGATAATAGGATCCAACAAAAGCTCCGTTATACTGGCAGACATCCTGGCTGAAGTTATGATGTGAAGGAGAGCCGATGCTGAGGAGCTTCACTTATGTTGTCAGAGAGCAGAGGTCAAGAAACCCCCCAAGTATGTATGTATTAAATAGTCATAGCTACCATTTTCACCCCAACCGGAACAGATCTGCATGTGCTGCAGATGTGCTGCAGACACTCCAAAACAGAAGACTGATGATTTTGGCAACAAACTATTTTCTGAAAACACCACCTTCCCCGGAGCATGTAGGTCGAGTTAGCATTGTGTGCCGAGAAACAATTAGCGATGCACCGAAAAAGCAGAGAAAGGAGGTGAAGAGGTCCGTCAGTCGTTAACGGATCCAGCTCAGATTGTTTCCGCATCCTGACTGAAATGAGGGGAAGCGATAAATGGACGACTTAATGCCTCAGGAGGAGTTTTTCTTTCCCCTCTCGAAGAAAGAAACGTGTAAAATACAATAGCATCTTCATAAAAGGACACATAATTTAGCAAAACATATATATATTTATTTGCTAAATACACAACACAGTGGAGGATACTGCTGCTGGTTTTAGTCGGCTGCTATTCCATCCATATGGTGAACAGACGTCTGTCCCTCGTGTCAGCCGGTGACGTCTACCTGCTCATCCTTATGTTGCCTTTCTACACACTCCATCTGAGATATTTGTTCATTAGCTTACACGATTCCTCAGAGGGCTGCAGGAGATTTAAGGCAATCCCACATGAAGCGAACGGCGAGGTACATCCCAAAGAGGCTACCAGTTTCTCATAGACAACCATTTACATTCACCCCTTCGGGCAGTCTTAGAGTTGCCAATTAACCGAGTCCTGCATAACCAGGAAATGCTGAAGCACAGGATGCATCTCATTATCATTCTGCTACAGGTGTTTGCATTTCTTTAAACCCATCGTCGGGCGGAGTTGAACCGAAGCAAAGGTTCTGGTTTCTTGCTTTGTTCCTCCCTTTCAGTGCCTCCCTGGTTGTGTCTACATGAAAGTTTCATGTCTTTTCTCAGCTACTTCCTGTTTTATTTTGAAATCGCCTTTTTTCCCCATTAGTCCCCGGTGTCCTGTCTTCCCAGTTAGTTCTGAGTGTAAATATAGTCTCGTCTTTACCTGCTGGGTCTCCTGTCGGCTTCACCTTATCTCTGTCTGGTTTATTTCTTTGAATCCTGTCTCTCTCTCTCATCCTGCTGATCCTCGTGTTTTCCTTTTTGTTGTTTTAGGATTACTTTCTTTGCCGACAGACTTACTTTTCCCCCTGATCACCACCCACTCTTGGTTTATTCATCTGCTGCTCACCTGTTTGTCTTTTTTTAAGTTATTTTTTTGGCCTTTGTGCCTTTATTGGATAGTTTCAGTCTGAGAGAGACAGGAAAGTAGGGGAGAAGAATGGGGGGAGGACATGTGGGAAAGGGTCATGAGCGGGATTCGAACCCATGACCTCCGCATTGGGACTGTAGCCCTGCACATGGGACGCCAGCTCAACCAGGTGAGTTATAGCGACGCCCCACTGCTCACCTGTTTACGTTTTCTGCCTTTTTGAGTCTCACTTGGTCCATACCTGAACACCCTGATGACGAATACTTGCTGGCTGAAAGGGGAGAACTGTCGTCATCTGGCTAGTTTACTAAAAAATAAAATCGCAAGCCTGACTTACTGCACGATCCAAATCTGCTGTTAAATGTTCAGCTGAGGTTGTTATTTTGATTCCTCTAGTAAAGGGGATTATGAAAACAGCAACATGCAGATGTTAGGCGAGGAGAAAGGTGTTCGAAATGGCCAAAGGCAAGCTTATACCTGCAGTCTACATTCAGTGAGTCAGACTGCAAATAACCTACAAATCTTTAAACTGCGAGAGAAAACTGGACACCAATGGTGCTTCAACAAATAAGATTTGGATGCTGCCTGTCAGCAGTAAGGATCAGATGAGAGAACATTACCATCATCACTATAGGAAGTACACACCGTAGGAAATGTTGGGCTAAAAGTGCTAAAGCTAGAAAATCACAATTACTTAAATACAAGTCAACAGACATGTAAAGTAATCTGTGTTCAGCTTCCTTTGCTTACAAACGATGGAACGATTTCACTCGACGAAACAAACTTTGAGACAACATGAAATATCTCTTGGTGTGTTCCATGATGCGAGTTACACGACTTGGACACGGCAGAGTCTTGGCTGTCCGTCCAGATCTGTCTGCATGATGAACAAGCTCTGGCACACATTCAGCCGTAGAGGTCATTACATGTAATGTTCCTGGAAAGCAATCACTGCACCCAGGGGACTCAGTACTTTTCCTGCATGTGTCAAAATGTTAATTCAGTTCCATCACAAGCCTTCTTGTCTGTGCGGCACACAATGCCTGTTAGTCCATAAACTCAGTCGGGCTGGCTAAAGGGCCCGAGGCCCGGCGGCACACCAAGGGTACATGAGACATGCATTCCAATGCGGGAAAAAGACATTACCATATGCACACACAGATATACGAGCAGCGCTGTGCACACACCCAAGTGGATACCTGGAAACACACAGCAAACTGCACACATCCCTCAGCAGGACGGAGCAACATGAGCACTCATTCCGACGTCCATTAAGGGGGAAATATTACACTTCAGCCTCAGCGGCTCGCAGTAGGACAGCAGAAGCATTAAGGCAACGCAATGTTAATGGCAATGTTGTTAGCAAAGGGAACTATTATTGTGTTCTCCATCAGGAAACCATCTGAGAACGTATGAGACATGTGAAGGTTATACAATATGTTGTTTGTCCTTTTCCCTTTTAAACGGTGCACAGAGAAGTTTTCTAATCCGACAGCGCCGTCAGCTTCGCTTTGAGGGTAAAGCTACTGAGGCTAAGTCACATGCTACCAAGAACTGTGGATAAAGTTTGTTTCACTGTTTGACCCAATCAAACTGGAAGCAACACATTACAGACAGCAAAAAAAACTATCTCTCCAGATAAGGTTTGACCTTTAAAATGAAAGGTTTCCCATCTACACTGGAACCAAAGTGGACAGCCAGTTCACAGACAATCAGACAAACAAACAAAAGATCCAAGTGTTCGGACTCATATGCATAGCATGAGATGAATTCTGAACTTCAGAACATATTTCCTCCTGTGGGCTCCAGTGAAAGGCATTAATTGATTTCCGCATGTTTCATCTGCAGTACGCTGTTCCTCTGATGTCTCTGTGAAGGCATCATTGTTCTGCAGCGATCGGCTCAGTTTGCCAAAGCCGAGCCCTACATAGAGGGATTACTATGGTCCGATCTCGGAGAAACAAAGAGCCTTGGGTGCACAAAAACAATATCCGTCCAGAAGGAACAATTATCATGCTCGGGCAACGCTGGTCCCACAGAAGATTGTGTATTATGTAGCAGCTTAATGAGATGATCGACACGAAGCCAAAGAGATAAATAAATCTGTAGAGCGTTTAGCAGGATATGTGGACAACGTGAGAGAGAGAGAGAGAGAGAGAGCAGTGGGGTGTGCTGTAAACAGACCATTAATGCAGAAGAGAGCAGAAATCTTTGGATCAGGATCATTTGGATCAGGACCATTTACATCC